CTTACGTTTCTTTATTATATATATATATATATATATATATATATATGTACTATGGTGAAGCGGCGCTAAAGGAAAAAAAAGTAAAGACACCAACGAAACGCGTGAAGGAGGCGTGCGACAGCGGCCACAGCATAAAGTGTATTTCTGCTGCTGTTGCTGTTTTTCTCTTCAGATTTCGTTTCTCCTCACCTTCTCTCTTCCCTGGTTGGGCAGAGAGAAGTGTATCTTTTTGGTTTCTCTCTGCGCGATTTGCCTCAGTTGGTGTTCCGTTATTTTCTTTTTCTTCTTTCTTTGCTTTACTGAAAGGATGCCCGGGAATGTTAGCTGGAGGCATCGTTGGCGAGGGGAAGAGAGGAGGCACACATGCATTCGAGAAGAAAAGGAAAATAAGAGGAGGAAAGAAGAAGCACAGCTTCACACCCGAGCGCACCCACACAAACCCTCGAAAAATCAACTCCCTCAAAAGGTAGCGCAATCATCTGACGGAGGAAAAGCGTTGTTATAGAAACGTGAAGAATTAGGCGAACTGCAAAGGGAAATTTAGATTCCTGCAACTTGCACCAGTTTATTGTTTTGCTTTTCCGAGTGCTTTTTTTATTTTGATGATGATGAATGCCGCTTCTCGTTGTCTTACTTAATAATTCTCGCTGCGAAGCAATAAAAATTATTATGTGACTGTTCTTCTTCTGTTTTCTTGTACCCCATGGACGACCTCGATACCTTTTTTTTTTTCTTCTCTCTCTTCACGTGACCCACTCGAGTACTCCCACCCGCTTCTTCTCTTACGAAACTGTAGAGTGAAGGACAGGATGGGAAAAGATTATTTTCCCCCTTTCTTTTTGGCTTTTGCTACACGTGTGATGCATCTCGGTGCGTCTTGATTTTTTTTTTTCTTCCTTTCTTATTCCCTCACCTCATCGTCGTTTTGGCCATGGGTGAGGTTTCTTTCTTTTCCTTATGTACTGAATGGTGTGGTCACGCGAGGGAGAGACGAGAGGGGGAGAGGAAGAGAAGCATGATTCTTTTTTTTTTCGGAATGAAGGGAGAAGCAACCGAGAAAGGAAAGAAAGATGGAGAATCGGGGACAAGAGCGAATAAACAACAAAAATAAGCGCGCGCGAGAAACTGGCATTTCTCTTCTGTGCTTTTTGTTTTTGCTCGTTTTTCCGGTCCTTCTTAGCACGTGCGCGCATCATTTGCCTTCTTTTTTCTGTTTTCCCCAGTTTGGAAGAGATGTCGAGAAAACGAAAGGAAAGGAAAATCTACTTTAAACGAAAAGAAAGAAAAAAGCCGTGGTTGTTAAGAAGGCAAGCAAAAACCGTGTTGTCGAAAAAAATAGGTGTGGTGGTTCGAAATTTGAGAATAAGAAGAGAATATGATGTTGAATTGGTATTAATTCTTTTTCGTAAATTCGCTTTTTACGTCGAAGCAAAGTCAGGCGCGCACTGCCGTATCTCTGCCAGTTTTTCCGTTCAACTTCCGCTCCGCCTGCTTCGTTTATCTTTCTTCGCCATATCTTCTCTCTTTTTTCTTCTCAATGAACTTTCTTCCATGCTTTTTCTTCTCCTGTTCGCACTCGAAACACAACTCTTTTTGCTGCGCTTTTTTTCCTGTTGTTGTTGTGTAAATGCTGCGTCATGAGTTGTCTAGAAGCATTTGTTGTGCGCACAGGGTGTTCTTCTGTTCCACGTGGCCTCGCCAAAACCAATGCTTCTTCTGTTTTTTTTTTTTCCTTTGTCGCGCCGTATTGGTGGCGACCACAATCGCGCGCGATAGAAAGCTCCGTCAGGCAAAAAGCGATTTCCTCGGTTTATCTGTGTTGTGGCTAACGAGAGCAGGGAAGAAAAGAAGAAGAAGTACATAAGAACCCTTGTGCGTGTTCTCCTTTGTTTCTAGAGCGAACCCTCCATGGTATTGTATTTAAAAAAAAACACGGAATACATAAAAAGGAGGTCCATAATGCAGTAGTTGGCGTACGCGTGTGTGTCTGTGCTGAATGCAGTGTCACACCGCATGCGTGGTCAATGGTGCGCCTGTGTTTACTTCCACTAGCACGTTAGAAGGAAGTCGCAGAAGATGTGTTCGATGCAGAGCCATGCGACAGAGTTGGGAATACCGTTAACGCTACTGCCTTCTCGTGCGTAGATGTGCGTGCTTTGCAGACAATGAGGAGTGCCAGGCAGTTTTGCGTTTGCTCTACTTGTTGAACACTTGGCGCTGCGGCATATTTGTCCTATACCCCCCCCCCCCCCACCCCACCCTTAGCCATGCGTGCGTCTAGGTACTGTTTGCAATAGCAGAGCTTTCAGTTACTTTCCTCCTCTTTTCGATGACACTGCTGCCGTATTTGATCTCTCTTATTTCGCTCTTCTCTGCCTTTGCTCTCTTTCCCCAATAGCAGTGCAAGAGCAACAGCAACACGGAAAAAAAAAGGCTACGAATAAAACCATCGATTTGGGTCGTTCGATACTCTGCCATCATGTTTAACTCAGCGCGATTGTTTGTACTCTCCGCGCTGTACTACTTTGGCTTCACTTACGCCGCTTATACTGCGCTGAAGCAGCGCGTCGCCTTCGTGGAGGTCGCCGAGCCCACCGGGCTGTCATCCAACGGGCAGGCACCGCACCGAAACCCCACCGTGCGGATTGGCATCCCCGCTCTCAAACTCATGATTATGCTCACCTCCATGGCTCTGTTGTCTGTTGTCGGCGCGGAGTGGTTTCCCCTTTTCACGGAGATGCGCGTCATCTTCATGTACACGCTGCTCTTCTCCCCGCCGTTCACACAACACGAGATGTACGATCAACTCTTTGCCCCGCTGCTGATTCGCGGTGGCACGTTCGTTCTTTCGTTGCAGACCAGCAATTTTCTCTCTCGCAAGGTGCCGCTCTTCGTTGTGCGCTGCTGCGTGGACGTCGGCATCGCCGCGATGAACTACGCGCAGCGCCGCCACGCCGTTGACGAGGACGCGGTGCGGGATGTCGTGAGCGGGCTGGTGTTTAGCAAACGCGCGCTGCACCAGGTGGCGGACCTTTCGCGGGAGGCGGACGGCGCGACGTACGCGGAGATTGCCCGGGAGAGCAACTTCGCGGTCGGCGTCTTTACCTCGCGGGTGAAGCGGGCGCTGTTGAATGAGCATGCGGCGGACGAGGTCGACGGCGGGGTCCCGACGGGGCGTGTGGTGTGGAATGTGGACTCACTGTTTTCACAGGGTATTCCGGTAGTCACAGCCTCCTCCGCTACGTTTTCTGCTGACCCTCCCGTGTCCGGAGGAGGTGCGGATGGGTTGGTGGATAGTAATTACCGTGAGCGAGACTTTCAAGGCTCCAGAGAGGCGGAGGCTCACAGAGACGGCCGCTCTCGTCGTGACAAATCGAAGAAACATAAACTGTTTGGTCTCTTTTGAGTTTTTTTTTTTCACGTTGTTACGTACATCACCTGTGAGCTAACCAGCCCACCCACCCCTCCCACACATTCTCTCTGTTGGCATCCTGACTATCCTTTGCATTTGGAAGTCTCTCATTATCACTGCTGCGTGCTCTCGTGTCATTGGAAAGAAGTGCTTACCTGCTTGGAAACGAAAAACTACTTTTGCATGTCTATCGCGGAATCTCTGGTTAGTGGCATCGCAGCCAAAGACTCAGAAACAAAGAAAAAAATCTGAGTCTTTCCAAAAAGAAAAGAAAGGTGAATGGGGTGAACTGCGCATTTGGGACCACTTCCTGCTCTAGCATGTGAGAGGTGGCTGCCCACCATAATTGCGTACGTCTGACGCGCGGAGAGGTGTGCTGCGTGCTTGCCGCTACGAAGCGAGCAAAGGAGGAGAAGACACACGCCCACACAGACCCGCAGATGCGCAACTGGCGTCAAGAAGTTTGGTGCGGCGCGACTTCTTTTATTCGAGGGCTCTTCCTCTCCTTCTTCATCTTGCTTCTACGACGAAATGCGCAACAAACAGCCGCACATGGAGGTTGAATAGGCGGAAAAGAAATATACAGAGGTTTGTGACACACACACACACGCACGCAAAGCGATTCGCATAAAGTTTCTCGGTTTGACGACCGCTTCACGGTGACGTGCAACTGGCTGTTCCGCAGCAAAAAAAAAAACACCGCTTAAGTCCTTTCTCAAACACAACGCATGCCCACGTGCAATCCGGCATGGTGATCACGCTTTGCAGCATCAAGTCAAACGAAAAACAAACCCTTTTAAAAAGTATATACACCTACGTATCAACGCAAACACAACACCCAATTTCTCCGTTCAGCATTATTTAGTGAATACAGTCCTCTATAACTCCAAAGCCGTAATGAATCGCCACAACAAATTCTACGCCGAAATGGCAGGGGAGCTGGAGGAGGACGACTACAACTACGACGAAGAGGACTACAACTACGATGAAGAGTACGAGGGGGAATACGAGGGAGAGTACGAGGAAGGGGAGGGAAAAGACACAACCGGCACGTCCCCGCCCGCCGCACGCGTGGCGGAGTCGGGAAAGACCGGCGCAGCAGCTGTGACGGCGCATACCAACCCCTTCGCCACCATTTCCCCTCAAAGCGACGGCGACTACGACGTGTTGGAGGTGGCGATTCCGCAGCTGTACGCATCGTGGAAGGTCAACGCACCGACGATGCTGCCCTTGACCGAAGCGGAGGCGGTAACGGCGCTGCGAGCCAGTAACTACGACCTCGGCCCTACGGTGCTGCAGCTCAAGGCGAAGCGCGACGAGCAGCGCACCAGGCGCGGCGGCGGCGGCGTGTTGAAGGTGGCCGCGGCTCCGGGGAAGGCCACCGTTACCACCGTGGCCGCCGTCGAGTCGGAGGCCAGCAGGTTGAAGAAGCACTCCGAGACGGATGAGGAGGAAAACGGCCTAGTCGACAGCAACCACTCTCCCGGAGCGAGCTCGTACCGCACCGCCGGCTCGCTACGCGGTTCGAAAGGAACGTCGCAGCGCCGCACAAAGCAGATGCTGCAGATGGAGCCGGACCTGTCCAAACCGGACTGCACCTTCGTCGTGGCCGGACACGTCGACGCCGGCAAGAGCACCACGCTGGGCCATCTGCTGCTGCTGCTCGGTCGTGTGAGCATGGACGAGGTGACCAAGAACGAAAAGGCAGGTCGGTCGCAGCACAAGGAGTCCTTCAAGTACGCGTGGCTGCTGGACCAATCGGAGGAGGAGCGCCGGCGCGGTGTGACCATCGACGCCGGCTCCTTCGGCTTTGAGACGGCGCACCGTCGTGTTCACGTTTTAGACGCCCCGGGGCACAAGGACTTCGTGCTGAACATGATCAGCAGCGCCACCCAAGCGGATGCGGCGTTGTTGGTCGTCAACGCGGCCACGTCGGAGTTTGAGACGGGCCTGCAGCACGGCACAAAGGAGCACTTGCTTGTCCTCAAGACCCTCGGAGTGGGCTCGATCGTGGTGGCGGTCAACAAGATGGACTCCGTGGGCTACTCGAAGGATCGGTACGACTACATCGTGCGGGAGCTGCAGCTGCTGCTGAAGCAGACGCGCATCCCTGACGAGGCGATCATCGGCTTCTGCCCCATCAGCGGCATGACCGGCGCGAACATCTGTGAGCTGGACAAAGCCGCGGCCCCGTGGTACAGTGGACCCTGTCTGCTGGAGATGATCGACCAGTGCCCTCTGGAGAGTCGCCTGGTGAGCGGACCGCTGCGGCTCAGCCTGCAGGACGTGCAGGGCACCACTCTGTACGCCAAGGTGGAGAGCGGCAAGCTCTTCACCGGGGACAACATTGTTTTTGTGCCGAGTGATGTGCGGATTGCGGTGAAGGCGGTGCAGAAGCCGACCGTCGCCGGCTCCGTGCTGGTTGCGTTCGCTGGGGAGCCGGTGGAAATTGTCACCAACTCGTCCGTGACGGGGCTCTACCCGGGCTGTGTCGGGTGCGACCCAAACGCGCTCATCCGCAGCTCCATCGACTTTGAGGCTCAAATTCAAACCTTTCGTACGCTGACGAGGGCCATCCTGCCTGGATCCACCTTCACGGTTGTGGTGCACGCCCTCACTGTGCAGGTGCGCGTCATTGCACTCATTTCGAGGTTGGACGCCAAGACAGGAAGCTGGTCGAAGGGGATGGTGAAGTGCGTGCCCCCCGCGACACAGGCGATGGTGCTCTTCCGCGCCGAGACGCCGGTGGCGCTGGAGCCCGCCACCGAATGCCGTGCGCTGGGCCGCTTTGTGCTGCAACAAGACGGCGATACCGTCGCTGGAGGGCTTGTGATGCGCGTGATGGGAAAGTAGCGGCGTAAAAGCAGACTTTCCGTGGTCGTGTGTCGATTCCCTTCTCGAACGTGTGCGTCTGTGTGTTGTCACATGTGCGTGCATCTTTAGTGTGGACGCGTATGGCGTCACTCCTTTGGTTGGAGTCGGCTTTGTCGTTGCCCACAGCGCATGTTGTCCCTTTTTGTATTCCTTTTTTTCTCTGGCCGTTGCGCGCGAAGCAACCAGAGTTGTGCGGTGCATTATAGTAATACTAAGTAATACAAATCAACAGCAGCAACGCCTTTTTGTTTATCACCTCTGTGCTGAAACGCACTTTTTTCTGGTTGCTGTCGAAGAACAGATTTGGCCTCTCATTCTTCTTCAAGCTGAATGCGTGCATCGTTCTCGAGTGTTAGCGCAACGCATCGTTTGCTGCTCGCAGTGCCGGATGGACCTTTTGTCATCTGGCCATCCACGATGCCTTTCATGGTGAGGGAAGGCCCTTATTATTTGTATTGTCAACTTACTCGAAAACGATTCCGCCTTTTTCTTTTGTACGCTGTACTCATCTGCGTGTGGTGGGCCCCCGTGTCAAGCATGTGTTTTTCCTCTTGTTCTTGTTTTGCTTTCCGTTGCATTGCCAATGGCCATGATTGTGTCAAAGCAATAAAGCACGAACACACACCTTTTTTTTTTGTATAAATATATATCACGTTGAGGGACAGAGCGTCTGTGTGCGATAGAGTGTGGTTTCTTTGCAAGTCATGCGACGCTGCCCACACAGTGCTTTCGTTGCCGCCGGCTTTGTGTCCTCCTTCAACTACGTACACCAATAATACGCATACACACACATACACTCGCAAGTTTACGCCCCACCGCCACAACGTCGTGGATTGCTGAAACGCTGCAGAGTTGGATGGGCTCTTTCTTCATGGGGCGGTGCAAGCGGGTGTCATCGGAGAACTTCACGTTTCATGATGAGTACGCGCTGCTCGACGCACCCATCCAAAATGCGGAACACATCCCGCTGCGGCTGAGTCCGCAGGAGCGCAAGATCCAGCGCCTCATGCGCGGCATCATCCTAGCCTCGTCCTACACCGACAAGGTCGACGGCGCCGCGGCGCTGAAGCACAAAAGTCGTGACCTACTCATCGTGAAGGAGCTGACAAACGCACTGACAGGCTTAATTGTCGGCCTGGGCACGCGCCAAGCAGCCAATTTCCTGCGCGATCACGAGTTCACACCGTACCAGCATGACATCCGCGCAGCCATTGAGATGTGCCGGCGGTATAAAATAATGAATCCCGACATGCTCCGCACCGACTACGTTAAGTTCCTCTACATGATACAGGACGCCGTGCAGAATGATATGGCGCGTGAGGCGCTCGGTTTTAATGTCGTAAAGAGTTTAGTGACAGTGGGCCGCTACTGCGAGGCGCACAGCATTCAGGATCTACTGGCCGATAGCCGGTTGGCGTACTGCATCACACCAGTGCCGGTGATGCGAGACCGCCATCTGCTGAATCGGTGTCTGCGGGGCAAAGATGTGATGGTAGAGAAGCTGGTGAGCCACTACGCTACCGAGCACCGTTTGGCGGAGGACAAGGTCGAAATCGCAGTGCGCAGTCTGAACGACGCAAACTGCTTCTCCAACGACAACGTGGAGACGACGACACGGCTGCTGCAGCTGCTGAAGCAGCACTTCAAGCCGAATGAACTGTTGGAGACGACGGACTTGACCATCGACGAGGGCACCGACGGTAGCCGCCTTTCGCACAACCACCGCATGCAGTACTTCTTTGTCCTGCAGAGTCTCTCCCTGTGGAAGAATATCTGCCGCAAGATGTACGTTCTGTGGTCGATCGCAGAGGAAGACATGCTCGACCCAAACGAGAAGTATGAGCTGCGCTCGACCGGGCAAGGTCTGCAGCGCGTGCAGAAGGCCCCGCATTTATACAAGGCGATACAACAGGTGCTGAACGAGACGAAGGAGGAGCTGGGGGAATGGGTGGGGTCCGAGCGCATCCACCTCGGCGACAACCAGGTGCCGAACGCGTTCCATTTCATCGACAAGTACGGCCAGGTGTCACGTATTATAATCCCCATTCTGCGGACGCTCGACTTCATTGACCATCTGGAAAAGCAGGCCGAACACGCGGCGTATTTGCGCGAAGTCTGGGGCAGCGGGGAGCTCGCTAAGCGCGCCATCTTGCGTGACTTTTTTCGCCATGGCTTTGACGGTAGTGGTGGCGACAACATGGATGACGCCGGCAGCTGCATTGATGGTAGGTTGACGAGCGCGTGGAACTGGTGCAATAACATACGATTTAAACCCTTCTATCCGCTCTTTCTCTTCTCCGGGTTTAGCTCTTTCGATGGCGATATGAGTGTCTAAAGGTGTTGGTGCCTTTTCGTTGCTGTTGCTGGCTATTCAGGTTTTTGTTTCCCGTGTAAATTTTAATAGGAGAGCGTGGCGAACGGGTCAACTGTCTTTTTCTGTGCGATGGTGCTGTGATTTCTGAGCGGCACGCACTGTCTAAAGTGCGCTGTGCTTCTCCCTACACACGTTCTTCCCATCTATTCATCTCTCCCTCTTTCGCTTAATGTATGTAAAAGTGTTGGTGTGAGGGTGCTACGAAATTGAACCACGAGAGTTTGACGCAGTAAATCCCCCCCCCTTACCAACTTACTCATTTTCTGTTCAAAAGTATATATTACCTGCGATGTGTTTCGTGTAGAGGTGTTGGTTTTGAATAGGTGGTCCACTGAAACGTGTATTTTGCTTCATTTTTTTTTATTTTTCCGTTTTGTTATTAGCAGACTATCCTGCCCTCCGTGTACGTGTGTATGTGTGTGAAGTGAAAAATAATGCGGCGTGAAAACGGAGCGCATCGTGAAATCAACATGAGAAACGATGGAATGATGTGAGAGAATGATGTTGCTGATTTGCGCTGCGCTTTCACGGCGCGGCACAGCAGTGGAAAAGGTCCTGCACGTCGCATGCGATGGTGTGTCTTCTTTTCTGTGTGTGTGCGCGCCATTAAATCACAATAAGAAAAGCAAACTCCGGTGACTTCAGCGCCTTGACTACCTCTACATGGTCTCTACTGCTAATTTCACCTTCGCACCCAACTCTTTCTTCTTGTCGCTGTCCCCGAACGCCCACCGGCCGCCGACGCATCTTATCCGTGCCGGAAAAAGGTACGAGCGAGTCCACAGTCGAAAGCTCGTCAGTTGTTAAGGCTGGAACGCTGTAACCCGCTCTCTCAAGCACACCCTAATCAGGTCTCCGAATGCCGCCGAAAGCGCCGAATTTGAAGTTCAAACCGAAGCTCGTGTTGCGTGAGGATGACACAACCCTTCGTCCCCTCGCTCCGCCGAGCACCGATGACTTAAGTCTCGTCCAGCTGGCCCGTCTGCAGGGCCTTTACGTTGACGAGGAGCACGTGCGGAGCACGGCAGATACTGGCGGGGGTGCAGGACAGCCGCCAACGCCGGCGCCAACGCCCGCATCTCCGTCCAGCGCACAAGGCGGGCCACCTGGACGTGGGGGAGGTGGCAGCCGTAGTGGGGGCGGTTCATCTCGCCGTGGAGCGAACTTTGCCAACGAAGAGGAGAGCGACGAGGCGCAGGGTTCCTCTGCGCTGTTGCGGCCCAAGGCGGTCCGCGGACACAACCTCAGCGCCCACGCCGCCCTTCAAGAGGCCTCCCGCCGTCAGGTGGACCTCTCCGACTTCCCCGAGACCGCGCCACCGTTGCCGGTGAACTCGATGAACACCATTGTGTCCCCTGCAATGGCGCGACAGGGCACCGCCCTGCACACGACCCTGTACCCGCCGCTACCGCTGGACGCCTCACTGCCGTCGCGGCTGGCGGCAGAGGCGGGGAGTGAAGTGTGCGCTGTGGGGGATGGTGCTACGCTCACCCCATCACTAACAGCAGCAACGGAGAATGCAACCCCGCTCGATGTGGACGGCACCGCCTTCTTGCGTGAGGCAGAACGAGAGCAGCAGCGCGCGTACGAGGCGAATGCGCGTTTCTTCGAGGAGCACCTTCTCCCTACGCAGCAAATGAACACCACCGTCGCGGCGGCTGGTGGTGCTGGGGTGCCAGGGGAGCTCATTTGGATGCAGCTCCCACGCTTTCACGAGAATCCGCCCTTCTCCTTTACGGACCTTCCCCCTGGGAAGGTGGGGGAGTTGAAGGTGCTGCGCAGCGGTCGCATGGTGATGGAGATTGCCGGGGTGTACTACGATGTGTCCGTGGAGGGGTATGATGACGTCGGCAGCGATGGCGCCTGTGCCATGGCGGTGGCGACTCAGCCGTGCCCGTACCCCTCGGACCCCACCTCGCAGGCCAGTTGCTATGAACTGGGGCTGTTGCAGAAGAAGCTCATCTGCACCCCAACGCTTGAATGAAATGTCCAACGGGTCACGTCTTTAGGGAAGACCGGAAAGCAAAACGTGGTATTTCGGCGGTGGTGTGTGTGGAGGTGTTTTCTTTACCTCACTACTACTACTCGTTCTGGCGCACCGCACGAAAGCCGTTTACGTAATCGATTAAATACAATTCTTCAAAGGAAAACAAGAAATCTTGTCCTTTTATGTTTATTTACTGGTGCTCTGACTCTGGCGAAGTGTTTTGTGGAACAGGCAAGACATCCCAAAACGGTACTGCAGTAGTGTATGCTGCATTCTATCCACTGCCATCATGGATGCCTTCTTGTGAACATCGTAAAGTCACGTGTAAAAAGCCGCTTCTGGTGTGCTGCATGGAAGTGCCGCACAGATACGAGTCTCCCCTTTTCGGTGGCACGGATAACTTCACTCAACTGTTTCCGCTTCTTCTTTGTTGTCGCCCTCATTTACTCGAAACGGCCATACTTTTTTTTTGGTGGCTGCGTAGAATGGTTGAACAGTGCACTTCCTGCCCCTGCCTGAAAGAGTGTTGTTTTGTTCAACTCAAGTTGATGTACCTCGACAAGACTCTCCAACGCAGAGTCCTTTTCGTTTTTTTTTTTTTTCAAAGGGGCAATCTGCCAAAACCACACTCTACTTGAAGAAGAAAGAAACACACACACACACCGTACAGCTCTACGGTGCGTCTCACGTGACACACGCTTTACCTTTTGCTGATCATCTCCGCTGCGCATAGGACACACACACACACCAAAAAACAAAGGAAAAAAAGAAAATGTCGCATAAGGAGCGCAGTAAAGGTGCGTCCAGCGAGAAGTTCTGGCTGTACGCCTTCCGCGACCACCTCGCCAATCTGCGCGCCTTCTCCAACTGCATTGAGACGGCCGACGTTAGCGGCAACGGCGATTATCAGCTGCTTGTGGCGGATGGCAGCAAAAAGCTGAAGGTTTTCGGCGGCACCACTCTGCAGCGGGAGCTGCCCCTCTTTGGTGTGCCGTCCGCCGTTGCCTCCTTCTACATGGACGTCGGCGATGCGTTCAGCAAGCCGGTGGTGGCCGTCGCCACCGGGCCGTACATCTTCATGTATCGCAACAACAAACCTCTCTATCGCTACATGGTTCCTGCCGTCCCGATCGATGCTCAAGAATCGAGTATATGGAACAGCCTCGCAGAGGGCGTCTTGACGGTGGACGACGGCGTGGCGAAGTTGGAGGCGCTGCTCGATTCCGGCGTGCAGACTTCCTCACGAACGTTGGAGTTGCTGCTGCTCGACACGGCGGAGGAGCGAAGTGACTTTGTGATGCGCATGCGTGCTGTACCTCTGATTCAGATGGACGTGGTGACCTGCATGGCTTCCATTCCGTGTAGCGCCACCGAGGCGGAGGGCCGGAGCTGCCTCGTCATTGGCACCGAGGCCGGTTTTCTCTACGTGCTGAGCGAAAGAGCATTGCAGGTGCGGCTGAAGGTGGTGCTGCCGAGCCCGCCTGTTTTTCTCATTGTGGCGGGGTGCCTGGAGGTCAACTATCGCATCATTGCCGCGTGCCGCGACGGCCGCGTGTATTCTACTAAGCAAGACCACCTGCACAGCGCCGTCATCCAGCCAGACGCGCAACCGTGTGCCATCGCCCGCTTCGACAACCTCATCGCTGTAGCCACCACCGCCAACACGCTGACGTACTACAACCTCAAAGGGAAGAAGCAGCAGAGTTTGTTTCTGCCGTGCTCCATCACAAATCTGGCCACGATTACCGACCCGATCACGGCGGAGAGCAAGGCACTCGTGGTGGCGCTCAGCAACGGTGAGATTCGCGTGCTCGTTGGGACACAGCTGCTCCACGTCAGTCTTGTGTACGGCACGGTGACGGCCATGAAGTTCTGCCGCTACGGCCGCGCCAACGGTGCCCTCGTTCTCGTCTTGCAAAACGGCTCCTTGGTGGTGGAGCTGCTGCACCGCAACGCGGATCTGACGTCGCGAAAGGCGGTTGAGATCGGTCCCCCGCCGGAGCAAGACGTGCCGATTCCGGTGCCGTTCTTGAGCTCCGTCTTTACCGCGCAGACGTCGCGGGAGCAGAAGTACGGCGCGGACATGTACCAGCTTTTCCAATGCGACCTTTCTCAGTTGCGCCTTACGACGGCCAAGGCGTACTTGGAGATGATCAACAACGGCGCAGTGCCGACGGAGCTCGGCAACGTGACGGAGGCGAAGGAGGAGGTGGCGGAGTCATCGCTGCGGATGAACGCCGTTGTGCAAGGACTTGGGCCCGTCTTCAAGGTAAAGGTGCAGTTGCAGAACGTCGGCGAGAGCCCCATCCATGCCGTCCGCGTTGTCTTCTGCCTCTCCGGTGACGAGATGTACCGCATGGCGCAGCAGATATGCACCGTCCCTACGCTGCTTCCCTCGGTTCCTCTGTCCTGCGAGGCACTTGTGCAGCTCGTGGAGGGGGAGGTGAAGGGAAATGCCATTCTAGTCGTCGCGTCCGATCCGAAGAGTGCGAGTCCGCTGGCAAGCACCCTGGTGGACCTACCCGAAGCGGAGCTGATTGAGGGGTTATAGTCGCACCTCACCTCGTGCTGTCGTTTCCGAAGTGCTCTCCGCTTTATACAGTATCGTGTGCATATCTACCGTTGAACGTCTTCCATCTTTTAATGGACTTGCAGAGTAGCAAACGGAGTTTTCGCTCTCCTGTCTCGACACTTGCTTCCCAAACAGCAAAACAAACAAATAAGCAAGAAGAAAAATGCCTCCACACTGTCCTGACGTTTCCGGCACTTTGGTCTCTTCTGCCTCAGCCTGACGAGTTGGCTATGGTCCACGGCTAAGGGGCATGGACATGTGCACAGCTGAGCAATCGCCGTCTGCGCTTCTTTGAAAACAGGTAAAAATAAGCCCTTCAAGTGTGGTCAATTTTAAAAGGCGAATTGAGCCCTTTTTCTGTATCATCTTTTTTTTCGAAGTGAACTACTATTCGACGCCTTTTGCCCCGTCTCCTCTTAAACGGATCATTCCTTCTTCGTTCTTGTGCTCGTTCAGCAATCCGCGAACGCCGGTGGCAAAATTACCATCTGCCACGCCGTTGCTTTCTGCCGCCATTTGCTACAGAAATTTGATCAGCTGTGCACCTTCTTCCTTGCTGTGAGTCACGAGAAGGCAACCGCACCTTAACTTTTCCTTCCTTTTCGCGCTACGCAATGTCCAGCACAAACCCCACCGCACCGCAACCGGAGAGAGGGGAGGGCGAGGTCGCAGCTCCAAGTGCAACTCCTTCCTCTTCACCTGCAGAAGGTGAAAGCCGACAAAAACCGACGGCATCGCCGACCACTGGCGACGCATCTCCCGTAGCGGCAACGGCAGAAAACGCGGAGCCGGCGCCGCGCACTACGCGTTTGCTGAAGGACGTGGAGGCGGAAGAGAACCGGTACATCTACGAGACGCTTTACAAGTCGCTGGAGGATGAGACGGACACAAACATCCGCGACGAGCTCACCGTTGGCGACACGGTGCGCCAGGCTCGCGAGGCGAAGCAGGAGTTCTTGAAAGCAACTTCTCTTCCTATCAAGGAGAAGATGAAGGGCTGCGCTGCACTGATGCGCAACCTTTCGGAGGAGCGAAACAAAAAGGTGGCGTACGTCTTTGTAGTCTACAGCGTATTGATCTTGACGCTTCCGCTGATCATGCTGATGCTCGGCATCCACGTGCTGGCGCCGCGGTGGAAGGTGGACGCGACGTACTGCGGAGGTGGGCTCGCGGTGGGGACGGCCTTGGTGTTGGTTGTTTCCTACGTGGTGTACGCTGTGCGGGAGGACATTGCCGATTTCAAGCGCACGGCGGAACAGGAGGCCGAGGAGAAGAAAAAGAAATGAGACGTTTTATTGCAGCGCCTGCAGTTTGTACTGCTGCTCAACTGTTGTCTGCTTTGCAGTTGCGAGCTTAAACAAAAAAAACAAGATTGTTCGGCTGGCAGTTTCGAGATGCCACAGAAGGACAGGAAAGAATCGAAGCTATCGCAGAGGAATGAAATAACGCATCTATTCTCTGCGATGAGAAGGGCTACCATCATTGCCCACAGATCGCGAGGAGGTGCAGTTGTTTACGGGAGTGGTGAACAGGGGAAATGCGTGCTGCGCTACCCGTTGTGTTTGGTCAAATCCTACTGGCTAAGTGATCCCGATGAAGAGGGACATATCACAATGTTTTTTTTTTCTACTTTATTCCTCTTGCCGTTAAAAGAATGCCCCAACGAAATGCCGACGAAGGTACGATAAGCTGCTTTCTTAAATGATGAAGAAAATGTCGTTCACAAATGCCTCTCACTTGGAATAAAAAAATGGAGGGAAGGTGCGACGTTGTGTTGGATCTGGCCTCTTCGTCGACAAGAGCACATAAGAAGGAGAGGGGAGGGGGGAGGAAGAAGGGCGTGGACCATCTGACTTCTCTGGGTTTGCTGCCGGCCTCGGTAGCAACGGCGTTGTTTTACGAAACTGTTTTAATGAACTGCGTGAGTTCTACCCCAGCCCCCCTCAAAAATACCGAACAGTGAGACAAAAGGAGTTTCTTGTACTGTGCAATCGCACGTTGTGTTGCTGTGTCTTCTCGCATCTATCCGTTTGCCGCCTCTTTTCTCTCTCCTCGCCTTTTTCTCCCATATGTTGTCATTTTTTCTATCCCTTATAAGGAACGCATTGTAACTTCTTTTCCAGTCCGAAACAAGCTACCGCTTTTGCAGGGGATTCGTTTTCTTTTTGTCCGTGAGCAAAGAAACGGTGTTGTACTTATCGCTTAAAAACAACACCCACCACTGAAGTCATAATGCTCTCCGACGGTGTTGCGTACGGCATTTCTTGCGGCGTCTACGTCGGCGCCGTTGCCCTCTTCATAGGGTTCTGCTTTTTGTTCCCGAAGTTCGCTGACCGTTGCTGCCGTCCTCGGGTAACAGAGAACACAGGCGACCAGTACAAGGTTTACGGAGCCGAAGTGTAAGGTGGCGGGCTCCTTCTACCGTCGGCTGAGAGGGCAAAGGAAACTGCGTTGATGATTTCCATCGCTTTGCTTCGCTGGGGCTGCACTGACACTAACAACTCCTGCCCTTTGTAGGGGGTGGTGGTGATGGGGAGGAGTCTCTTTTTTTTCTGTTCTTTTCCGCGCGTTCATCCTCCTTGCCGTGGAGGGATGCGCGGCTTATTGAATGTCTTTTCGTTGCTTTTACAAGTACATGTCTTGTCTGCGGCTGCACAGCAAAGAGAGTGCGTTTTTGCCGCAAGATATGAAATCCTGTCTTTCCGCTTTCCCGAAGCACATGGACGTGCCAGCACTCTACACTGTCAGAGGCGTCGTGTGATTGACTTATGAATTTGTCTCTTCGCGTTGTCTTGGTGTACTTTTGTTTTTTTCTCGGTCGTTCCGTTATTTGTCCTGCGAGGTATACAGGGGATCGGCTCAATGGAGATCGTCGTGCTCTTTCTGGTCCCTACCTCCTCCGTCCTTCCTCCTCGCTTTTAGCGCCGTGCTTTCTCCCTTTTTTTTCGATCTGTTGCTTTCAAATAGAATAAACTCAATCAACGACAGAAGAACACGCATCGAGTAACACACACGAGAAAAAGAGTTTGCAAAAGGAATCGTTGTGCTGTCGCGGGTGGGGTGGAGGGGGGGGGGGGTGCGGCAGGGGAGTGAGTTGCGCTACCAACGAGGCATTGTATGCCACAGAGAAATTGACTATCCAAATTATTGAAAGCCGCCCACGTGCAGGAAGCAAAAGCAGAGACGAAGGAAAGCATGTACACTCACCTTGCGCCTCCTCAAAACGAGTGAGTCGCTCTCCTGTTCTCTTTACAGACACCCAAGCATTTCTCCACATGTTCACACGATTCTACCCTCTCGTAGCATCACAGTTGACGTCCAACCAAGCTTCTCAATTGGATTCTGTTTGTTCCCTCTCTCCTGTTCTCTTCCTTTGTTCTTCTCGAATGCCATGTTATTTTTGGTGGTGTTGAGATGTGTATTTCTCGAGCAGGGCTGCTTCTTCTCGGCAGAATAGTGATCCAGATCCGTCGAGGTACACACTCTATCTTGTCAAATCCGTTGATGAAAAGCAGAATTCTTTTAAAAAAGCAGTGCGCACCTCAATTAAAAGATAAAAACAGGCAAAACGGTACTAGAGTCTCTTTCAACCCTCACAGGAATGAAAATGATGAGTCAACAACAACGATATTTAACAGCAACATCTGAGTCTTCGTGACGCGAACTCGTTTTCCTTGACTGATTCATTTTGTGGGTGCGGTTCCAGACTACTGTTCTTGTATCCTACGCTCGCCGTCTCGAACTAGGTGATGCAGAGTAAATGAAGATGAATATTGTTTTTTTTTTTCTAAAGAAAGGAAAGGAAACTGCCATACATGCGTGCAACACGTAGGGGAAGTACCGATGCAACTCGCAGACCCATCATCGCGCTGCCGTCAGTGCGGCAGCGGATCCCCTTTCCTTTGGTGACAACGATACAAAGAAGGAAAGGAGAAGCATTACCCTGTCATTCAAAGTGTTATCTTCCTACCATGAAGGACGCGCAGTGTCACCGTTGAAAATGATGAATCAACAAGAACGACGTTTAACAGCAACATCTGAGATCCCATGACGCGAACCCGCTAATGTTATTCTGATCACGGTGCACAGCGTGTCTCTACGACGAGCTCCTTTATCCTTCTCAACCACAGCACAACAACAGTGTGATTGAGAACCACCACGATTTTCTGCGGCCATCGATGTTTCCCGTGTGCGTCTGT